TCAACCATGTTGAAATACAACTAAGAGAAGGAGATCGCTTACGGGCTTTAAAAGCTTAAGTGAGAAACTGTGAAGGTTATTTCAGACGGATTTCGTTTTATGCAATGCATGTGATGCAGCTGCGGATGTTGTACGTGTTGTTTGACTTGTATTTGAAACAGGCCGCTCCAGCAAATACATCCATGCTGCGCATTTTCCGGACAGTGCCTTTGATCGTCTTGCGGGGAGATTCTGGCTGTTCAGATTGCTTTGATACGCCACCTGCTGTTGTCGGGTGGGATCTTGGATTTCCTGACGTCACGAATCCTACCTATCAAGTCGAGCCGTACTCGTGGAAGTATATTGATGATGGTCGTGACAAGTACTGTTCCGAATGCTTTGAGGGAGGGAGGGAGGGAGGGAGGGAGAGACTAGGAGGGAGGAATAGCTCACAGCAGAGAAGGAGGAGCAGGACTTGAACGAGTCCTCAACGCTAATCCTCTTGGGAGCTCCGTTGGTGACCACGGGGCTCTTGTCTCTTCCCCGTGCTGCCTCGTACAACTGTATCCCCGCCCTCACCCCGAGCTGACTCGTCAACTGCTCCCTCCTCATCCTCCTCAGGTCTCGTACAAGCTCCACTCCCATCTCCTGCAGGAGCGAGCACGTCTTGTACCCCGCTCCTCGTATCGCCCGGATTGAGAGCGGAGCGATGAACTCAGCTGCCTCCGAGGACGGCAAGCTCGTCTGATCGTCCGGCTTGTGCAGACCCGACGCAAGTTTCGCAAGCAGCTTGTTGTGTGCGATGCCTGCTGATGTCCGGATGCCAGTCTCCTCCTTCACCGCCCCCTCGCCTTCCGTGCAATCTCGCTGCCCAGCTGCAGAAGAATGTCGGAGGCAGACGCGGCCCCCTCGTCGCAAGTAGCCTCCTTCCTCTCGCTCTTGTTGCTCACGCGCACATCCATCGGCCGGTACACGTTGTCACTGTGAACTGCCTCGCTGCTCCTGTGCACGTGCCCCTGCCATCGTCTCTCCGCGTTCTCCTCCATCATCTTCTTGCATGCTGCAGTGACGTCTACCCAGACCTCGTCCATCCCTAGCCGTTCAGCAGCGCTTCCGAACCTCTGCAGCACGGAGAAGATCCTCCTGCTGGTCAGCCTGTAGGGCGTCAGGTCCTCGCCACTCACCAGCACGAGCCCAGGACATTTCTTCTTCGCATCCTCGATCGCCATGAGCTTGGTGACTCCTGCTCTCCGTGCCGGGTAGTTGCACGTCACCACCAGAAACTTCTGCGTTATCCCCAGCGGAACCTCCCTCAGCTTCGGGTCCCGTAGCTCCTCCACTTGCGCGTAGAAGCAGTCGGCATCGAAGTGCAGGATGACACGGTCTGTGTCTGGCTCCCCGATGTCCAGCGAGAGGGATGGATCGTCCTGCAGCTCGTCCCTGTCGCTTTGCTCCTCATACTCGCAGCTTCCATACCCCTCATTGCATTCGAAGCTCGCTTCCTTCCCTTGGCTGCTTCTTGCAAACTTGTGCGCGCGGAAGTCTTCATAGCCTCTCTTCGACAACCTGGTGCTCTTCATTGAAAGCGGATGCTTGAACGAGGCCACGACTTTCTACGTCCCTCTATCCCCTGTATCCCATCCAAACTCTCTCAACTTCCTCCTTCCGCTGCCTTGTAGGAAGGGGGCAGGTAAGGAGAAGCAAGAGGACCTCTCCCTGTTCCCTCACCAACCTATCATCTTATGTGTCTCCATGGCCGACTTCTTTACTCAAAGTTAAGTTAAAGATCGGTACGAGGACAATCATGCCACTAGTCACATCGCTACACTGAGCCGAGCCTCGAGTCACCCGGGCCGGCGCAGCGCCGCGCCCGCAGCCGGGCCGGCGCCGCCTGCCCGGCGGGCCGCTCCGAGGCTCAGAGTCAGGCTCCTGACTGATGGATCGCATGCCAGCCGTGCCTCAGTACTTGTCACAGTGCTCCGTCTCTGACCGTGACACTCAGGGTCTGACCGTGACTGGTCCGGGACTCGGACTCTGTCGGAGAGGCCGCGGCCGACTCGGCGAGGCCCGTTAACTTGATGCCAAGGTCCGAGCAAGCTGCCCAGGCTGGCAGTTGCCGGGGGTTGCGCCAAGTGGCTCCTGGCCGCTCCGTGATGGAGTGCCCGGCCCGGGAGTCCGTTTGCCGCAGTGGCCGTTACTGCAAAAAGTAACTGAGTCACTGAGTTGCGACCGAATAGAACTTACACTGCCCCCCCGCGGCCAGTGGGCCGGGCAGTGACCGTGACTCGCGGGGTCACGAGTATCACAGTTCCGTTTGCTGCACTCAGGCTCAGTGAGGCGCCCCCCGGGACGGTCAGGCTACCGTAGTAACCGTTAGGGAAAAATACAAAGATAGTTCTCCTGCAGAAGCTTTCGGAAGCGTCCGATTGAATGGCAGACGCCAAGTCACTGGGGGGGAGTGGGACAGGAGAATCGTCATCCACCTAAGTTCCACAGGACTAGCGGAACCGAAGGAAGTCAAGAAACTTTTTAACTAGAGTCGCACGACGCGAGGAAATTCAATGGCGAGATGGAAGTGGAGTTCTCAGTTGTCACCTGGTTGGCGACGTTGGAGTTCCAGCTGATGTCTCAAGCGACTCCACAGGAGCAGTGGGTCAACTCTGCTAAAGGCCTCATGGGTGAGAATGTGACCAACAGGATTACTTCGTAGTAGCGAAATTTGTGGCGCCATGTTCCGCTTGTTTACAAGCGAAGGCGTTCAGTCAGAGATCAGCAGCCTTGTTCATGCGCAATTGGACCCAGCGGCACGTTTTGACAAGGTAGTGGTGGACATGATGTCAGGTTTACCTTTGTCTCGACGTAACTTTCGCAATGATGCAGTCTTGGTTTTTGTTTACCGTACGTATGGTCAAATCGGATCATTTTATCTCCTTGCAAGAAGAATTCGGATTCTGCTATGAGAATGCTTATCGCGTGCAAGGAATAGCTTCGTATGAAATTCATTGGACCTTTGATGATCCTGGAAAAACCGTCTGACAGTACAGTACGTATGTCTTTTCCTCCGCGCTTTCCGCAGCTCAGGGATGCTCTTTACAATATTTCAAAGTTGCGTCCTTACTGATTTCGCAATCCTACGATGGATGTTGCCTGACTGACCCTGTCCAACCCAACGACGTCCTCGGTCCAATCTCATTTCCCTGCAAGCTGAAATGACTTTCATCGTGCTCCTCGTCCTTCTCTTCCTTTGCCCTCACATGCCGGCAAGCAGCTCCTCCTCGCTGCTCCTCACAAACCACGACACCCACTCCCTCTCCCCCGCTATCCCCTCTCCCACCCCAAAGATCGCCTCCTCAAGCCATGCTTGTCCTGGCTCGCAAGGATCAGGCTGCACGTCCCTCCCGCTGCTTCCCTCCTCCTCTTCCTCCTCCTCCTCCTCCTCCTCCCCTGCCTGCCTGCACGTGTGCCTGCACGGGCTCTCCTGTCCCCCATCTGCATCGGACGATGACAGCAAGACAACAGCCAACGCTCCATGTGTGCTGCCTACTCCGCTCGTCCCCTCCTCCTGCACTGGCAAGGGGGATGGAGACGGCGGCGACGCCGGGGCGTCTGCAGGGGAGCCTTGTAGCCCGTTGTTGAGCCATGGGGGTCCCGCCCTGTTGCGCTCGTAGGGCCAGCGGGCGAGGCCGAGGCGACGGCAGGCAGACTTGAGGCTGGTGAGGGAGAGGCCCTGCATAAAGACACGGGGCGTCAGGGAGAGCGGGCTAGGAGGATGCAGGGGATAGAAGTTAGGATATGGGAGGAAGGAGGATAGGAGGGAGGTAGGGATGAGATAGGAGATTAGCGATCGGAGATAGAAGATATGACGCACGAGGTGGTGAGCGGCGTCCTGCTGGCGCATGGAGAAGAGGGGGTGAAGGTCGGGAAGGGTGATGCGGATGAGGCGGGGAGGCTCATCGCGGGAGTCCTTGCGGGTACGGGCCTGGACGAGAACAGAAGGGTAGGGGGGATGGAAGGGAAGAGGGTTGCTGTAGCTGACAGTCATCATGTGCCAGGCCCGAGGTCAATCGCTGTCTGTATGAGTTGCGAGGAGGAGCGCGCGACCCTGGCTGCAGCGCGCGGCGGTGATCACCGGATCATCCGCGTCCTACCCTGACCCCCCTCTTTAATGGGGTCAAGTACCGGTCCAAGATTATCAATCCATGAAAAAGGGCCATATGGCCGAATGAGTTCAATGTCAGCTACGGCTTTAACTGGTCAAGCTCGAGCTGCCGTCTGGCCATGCCCTTGGGAGATCTTCTAAGTCTACCATTAAGTGCAAACGGTCTTGATGTGTGCCGCTTTAGGCTTCCCCTTTGACAGCCCGGCCTGAGCCACCCCACCCCCCTTTTAACAACAGCATGCGCGCATGGATAAGACCTCTTTGTTACCCTGCCAAACGCGTCGATTCAGAACTACATGTCTCCCTGCAGGCTCTCACCCCCTGCCGCCAACTCCGTCAGCAGGGGTAGATCGCTTAACGGATTGCCGCCGTTTGGGAATCTTGGAGAGTCTAACTGCGTCCGTGACCGTCAGAACCAGTAGTAATGATGCTATTTATGTCACGTGATGACCTGCTGATTGAATTTCGTGTCATCGTCAGGGTACTACGTGCCCAGTCACCCGACTGCTTTCGGAGTTCCGTATCGTAATTCATAAAACTTGATATCCGATGATCGCCGAGTCCCTCGGCGGCGGGATCGGATCTTTACTCAAAGTTAAATCAGTACGGCGGTTTAGAACGGAAATCATCAATTTCCAATCAACAAACCGGCGAACTTCGGAAGTTCCGAAGTTCCGGGCCGTTCAGCCTCAGCCGCTAGTATCAGTCGCCGCATTCCGGAACGGAGTTCGGAAGTTCCGAACGTTCCGGCGAGCGGGGGCCCGGCATCACGGATGAACAGTCCGATCACCGGGGCTGCCGCCGCCGGTCACCTGCGCCGCGATTCGGAGGTTCCGGCGCGGGGGCCGGCGGGCCGATCCGCCGATCAGATCCGATCCGGGCCCGGGACACCGGCGTGACTCGGCGGACCGTACTCTGGGATGCACCGAGGCGCGGCACCGTCCGCCGGGCCCGTGACCGTCGGACCGTCGCCGGCCGGGCCTGGACTTTTGCCGCGTGACCGTTCGACGGTGACGGTGACGCCGGGCCCGAGTTGCCAGTGAACCGCCGGTCCTGCGGACGGTTCAACGGTTACCGGGTCTTGCGGCTGCTGCGCACGGGCGCGGCGGCTCCTTTGTAGCCTAGTAGTGTGACTAAACTTGACCGTACCCGAGTCCAGTGACTAGGGGGCGGCGCCGGCGGCGGTATCAGTCTTGCATTGCCACCAGTGCGGCTCCGAAACGGTTGTCAAAATGAAATGGCCCGAGACATCGGATGAATTTTATGTTATGCGATTCCACCTTAGCAAAGAATATAGCAGATTAAGCTGCGATCTTGGCGTCCACCTGTGTGAAGAAGTGAGCGAAGATTGATCAGATCCTGATGCCATCAGCATCACAGCGGCAAACAAGGTCACCTTGGCCATGTGCTTCATGAGGTCCTTGACACGGCAAGAGTAGCCCCACTCGTTGTCATACCATGCCACGAGCTTGACAAATCGAGGGTTGAGCATGATGCCTGAAGAGAGATAAGGACTCTGCGCAGTGGGCTTGAGAGGGAGCCCAAGGTTGAACTCACCGGCCTCCGCGTCGAAGATGGAGGAAGTTGGCTCAGACACGAAGTCAGTGGAAACAAGAGGCTGCAGGGTCATGTCAGCCCTCCTGCATTACATCATTGAAGCCATGACCTCATCGCAGTAGCCAAGGAAGCCCTTCATGTCTCCGTTGGCCCTGCGCTTGACCTGCCAAAGAACCATAAGACCAGATTGCAAGACGGCAGCGGCATCGTCACGTTACCTCAGCGCAGATCTCCTCGTAGGTAGCATCAGTCTTGAGGCGGCAGGTGAGGTCAACCACTGAGACATCGATGGTGGGGACACGGAAGGCCATGCCGGTGAGCTTGCCCTTGACGTCGGGGATAACCTTGGCAACAGCCTTGGCAGCACCAGTGGAGGAGGGGATGATGTTTCCGGAGGCAGCACGACCCCCACGCCAATCTTTTCTGGAGGACGAGTCAACAACAGCCTGAGTGGCAGTCATGGCATGGATGGTGGTCATAAGGCCTTCCTCGATTCCCCACTTGTCGTTGATACACTTCACAAGGGGCGCAAGGCCGTTGGTGGTGCAGGAGGCGCAGGAGACGAAGTCGGTCTGGCCCTTGTAGTCATCGGGGTTGACTCCCATGACAACAGTGAGGGAGTCGTCCTTGGCTGGAGCAGAAAACACAACCTTCTTCACGCCAGCATCAATGTGGGGCTGCGCCTTCTCAGCAGTCAGGAAGACTCCGGTAGACTCGCAGAGGTACTCGACTCCAGTCTTGCTCCATCCGATGTCCTTAGGATCACGAGCCCTGGTGGTCACGATGCGCTGGTCGTTGATAACCAGATCGTCTCCGTCAACCACAACCTTTCCCTTGAACCTTCCGTGAATGGAATCATACTTGAACTGGTAAGCCATGTAGTCGGGGGTGGCAGACCCAGCATTGATGTGGAGAAGCTTGCACTCAGGATCTTCGATCATGATCCTGGCAACAAGACGACCGATACGACCGAAGCCGTTGATACCGCAGTTGACCTGGTCTGACCCTCCTCCCATTCCTCCGAAGGCCTTCATGATGTCGTCGAAGATGCCCATCATCTTGACCGAGGACTTGGGAGCTGCTCTGTTGGAAACAGGAGCAGAGAGACGAGGAGACGAGAGGCCTGGGAGCCTGCTGGGAGCGAAGGCTGACGCCGACGCTGCGATGCATGCGAGGAGGACCGAGCGACTCAGCATGGCGCCTTGAAAAGCCTACAGGTTTTTCGATTTCTATAGGGTGAGGGTAGTCATCATACCCCCGATTGTCAGACCAAAAGTAGTGATATTTGATTGGTAAGGTACTGGGATGAACAGGTGGGTCCTTTCTGAAGGGTTGTCTTTCTGGGTACTGGAAGGGACTAGCAAGAACGATTAGTTATACTCCGGGGTAGGGTATTCTTGCAGGGTGGGTGCCAAAGTACCCCCACCCCATACATACCGTGAAATGTAGGGAAAATTAGGTGGTAGAGGAGAAATCTGGATACAATATCGGGGTGCCACGGTGGTTGATCTGGGAATTTAGGGGGGTCAGGGTAGATATAACGGCGCGGCTTGCAAGGATACTAGACGGTACCCGGCCCATTGACCCTCAGCATGGCGCGGGGCACCGGGGCCCCGCCGCCGGGCCCCGTGAACTTGGAAGGTAAACTGAAGTCACTGAAGCTTTCGGACCGAAGCTGAGTAATCAAGTAAGTTCCAGGCCGCAAACTTTCCGAAGCCTGAAGAGCCGCCCCCAGTTTCGAAGTTCAAAGGACGAGGACAATCAGGAGAGTAGAGGAATGGCGATCCGAGTCCGATCATCCCGAGTCACGCCCCGGCGCGGCACTGAGAGTCACGCGCGGCGGCCGACGGCGGCCCGGGCCGGGCCCGCCGATTGGAATCGACTCACTGTCATGTAGTGGTCATGTAGAGGAGAGTGTGTGGGATGAGGGACAGGTGTCTCAAGTCTTTTGATGAACTCGAAATGCTCTTGGAGCCAATGGCGAGGACGAGGACGAGGACGAGGACAAGCGGGAGGGAAGAAGTGGATGATGAAGAAGAGAGGAGCTCATGTGAGTAGCTGGGAGGAGCAGGAGGAGCAGGAGGAGCAGCAGGAGCAGCAGGAGCAGCAGGAGCAGGAGGAGCAGCAGGAGCAGGAGGAGCAGGAGGAGCAGGAGGAGCAGGAGGAGCAGCAGGAGCAGCAGGAGCAGGAGGAGCAGGAGGTATTTCAAAATGGGGTATTGGTCAGTGTAAAGGGGATCTTATGTATATAACAACCATGAATGCAGCAGAAAAGTGGAGCGGACCTGGTTGATATCATTGTTATGGAGATTGAGATGTGCATGGTTGATATTTTCCTTGAAGGAGATTGAAATGTACAAGGTTGATATCTTCGTTGTGAAGATATGCTCAATGTTTTCTTAGTGAGGATTGAGATGCCATAACCCAATCAACGAACGGAGGATATAATTATGATGGTGAGGAGGGGATTGAGGCAAGAGTAGCGACGAGTCAAATGTGACATGTTCATTGAGGAACATGGCTGTCGTTTTGACATTTTTTCTGCTGAAACACTTCTTATGCAGAATTATTCCAAAATCATGTCTTCGGAGGCCGAGATCAAGGACTTGTCTCCTCTGTTCGACATGAATTCTTTGGAATGCTTGAATCAGGATTCGTCACATGTTGTCACCAACTGCATGAAACAGGTTCATCATGACGCACAGTGCCTGTGCAGCTGTTCTGTTGTGAAGATAATTCTGTTCTCTAGGGACCTCGTGACGACGATGCAGTCTTTCTTGCCAGCGATTGTGACGAGCAGCTCCTAATCAATCTGCGCTTCAAGCAGGCAGTGAGACTGCATTCCATCGCTGTCAAGGCAATAGACGCGGACAAAGGTAGCCTGAGACATCCACAGCCTTCATGGTCTCGCTGACATCGCCCTTTTCTATAGCTCCAAAGCATCTGAAACTCTTTTCGAACCCTGTGAACATGAGCTTCGATTCTGCTGTTCGATTCTGTTGATTGAGGATGGGCGATCGCTGATTTTTGGGACAGGAATCTGATCAATGCACTCAAGAAGTGGAGTTCACCCCCGAGCAAGTCGCGGATGGGACTGTGATTAATCTTCGATACGTCAAGTTTCAAAACGTAACTTCGCTTTCTGTGAGTCTCTTGCCATCTTCACATCTGCTTGCTCACAACATTTCACAGCTTTTCGTTGGCAAGAATTTCGGAAACGAAGACCAGACTGTAATACACAAGCTTATGCTGTATGGGACTGCAGGAAACAACACGAACATGGGGGACTGGGAAAAGGTTGCGAAGAAGGCGATGGAGAATCAATAGTGATCTAGATACTGGACTTTGAAGTGAAGTATGAGGACTGCTCGTAAGTCGAAGAATATCCGTAGAACATCCTTCCATGTACCCTCATCCAAGGGCATCTCGCTCAGACATGATAGACCTGCACACCTTGTCTTTATTTCCGAAGAAGTTTCAGAATGTTTGGAACAAGCAACGGCGTGTTTGCCTTGTATAAACGATAATCTTCGTCACTGCCAAACCTCTTTTCCATCTTCTTCTCTGCAAGAGGTACGCCACTGACTGAGATCAGCAGCCAGGAGATGAAGGCCGGGGAGAGAAAGGAGAGCAGGATCTCGTTTAGAGATCTGAGTCCCGACGCATCCAGTGCGCACAAAGCTGTCCAGACAAGGATCTCTCCAAAGTAGTTGGGGTGCCGCGAAAGACTCCACAATCCACTCCTGCAAAGAGTGTGTGCTGACTCCTTAGAGCGCTTGTGAATCCACTTCTGCCAGTCAGCGACAGACTCGATCGCAAACCCGGCGGCGAAGCACGAGGTCATAAGCCAGTCTACACCCCGCATCGCTACCTCTTCCTTCTGAAAGCAGAGCATCGAGTGCGGGATGAGACAAACGAACCCCCACATGGCGGAGGCGAACCAAAACAACATCATCTTGAAAGGGGTTGAGAAAACCTCGGACAGCCGGGCGTCCTTCCTGCGGCAAAGACTCAGTTTGCGATAAGACTGCAAGTCTTATCGAAGCAACTTTGTCTTCAATATCCGCAGGAACAGGAAGCTGGCTAGCCTGATGCTCCAAGTGGTGATGCACACAGTCGACACAAGGGCTCTCGTTCCTCCTCCATGCCCGATCAGCAACGACGCTATGGATGAGATCGCGAAAGACCCTACCAGACCTCTGTCACCATAAAAGTGTATCGCACAAAAAATCTCATGATCAGAGAATTGGCTCTTACCAGTCCCAATCAAGTCCGTCACCTGTCATGCAACGTCACAAATGTGCACTTCCTTGCATGAGTGCATCACCAGGTGTGTTCCCGTCAGAGCTGTTATCGCAAACCCGACTACATTCATCCCTCCAACAATCGCTGCGCTCGTCACAAGACCGCCAGCATTTGCCAGCGATGAGATAGTCATCTTGATCAGCCCTCCTCCTCGCAGCCTCATGGGTGCTTTTGCAACCTGGTGTTTTGCATGCAGAGGCAGAGGATTGGCAGAGGTCGGATGGAAGGCAAGAGCCTGGTAGGAACAGAACATCAGAGGTTCGTAGATCGGAGCGGAGGACGGGAGCAGAGCATGGGAAGAGGAGCACAAGTGACGCAGGAGGGACTGATAGCTCCTGTCATGTGATAGTTCGAGGCAACATGAGAAAGAGCAGAAGTGCAGCATGCCAGCTGAATGCGCGCGTCATGTGAGTAGAGGGCAGCATCGAGCAGTGGGGACCCAGGACAAACATGCGCTGTACGAGCATGAAGAGGCTAGCAAGTGGCTCAAAGAGCAAGAGCATGGCAGCGCAGTCCATCGGCATTAGAGTATGCTCCTCACTCCCTCGTTCCGCATCCTCCTACCTCTGCGCCCGCCATGAATCCTAGCAAGCAGATTGCGACCGCCCGCCGCATCGCCATTAGGATAATTGAGTAGGTGGTCAACTCGAATCTCGAGGGGTAGGGGTAGTCTCAAGTAAGGGCGCAACAAAATGACAAGGGTACAATAGATGGATTTTGTAGTATGAAAAGTACCGGTCTTTTACGTAGGTGGGTTGATAAGGGGGGTAGGGGGTTTCGAAAACGAAGACTAAGGGCGGGGGGTGGGGGGGGGGTCAATAGATTTTCAGAACAGGGTAGGGTAGGGTGGGGGCAGGATCCGTCGGGGACGATGTTGCAAGCACGGATGCACAAACTTGAGGCCATAAGAAGAGCTTACAGGTAAGGAGGAGGAGGAGGTGGAAGAGGAGGAGGAAGAGGAAGAGGAAGAGGAAGAGGAAGAGGAGGAAGAGGAGGAGATGAAGTGGAGGAGGAAGCGGAGGAGGAAGAGGAGGAGAGAAGGTGGAGACAAAGAGAGGACGGGGCGAGAAGATGAGAGGAGGATGAAAAGTTTGTGTCATCAGCACTAACTGGCCCGGACGATGATAAAGTGGTCCTATAAGTGATTGGCCGGAAAGAGATGCTGCAGTTCTGAACATGGTCTTTTGTCCATGCGGCATCTTGCTCACAGGGTCCTCTCGCTGGCAGATGGCTGACGGATGCATACCTGGTCGAGTTCTTCTCAGCGGACCATTGGCAACTGCTTCCAACCTCATGGCAGCACTTCTTCAAACTTCTTTCCCCATCCTCCTGTCAAAGAATCGCGTCGCAATGCTCTTCTCCTCTCCTCTTTCTTCAGGCTCTTCTTGCCGAGGCTTCTTTTTCCAGGTTCCAGTACATTCCTGCAACCATGCTTCCATGAGACTGCCCTTGGCTCTCCTCCAGTACCCGTCAACACGCTCCCCCTCCCCCCCTCTTCCTTCCTGTGCTCTGGTACTGACTTGCGTCTCCTCTCTGATCTGTCCCCATCTACCACCTTCCATACTTCCCTTCGTAGCGCGGGCCCTCCCCCTCTTTCCCTGCAGGCTTTGCTTGTCCTCCTCGACCAAACTTGTTTGCCGAGGGCATGCGATGAAGGGCAGGACATGCTGTGTTTCGATGTACATGGGAGAGCGGACACGTTTCGTCTGAATATGGAAGAGATCGGGGAGAACAGTGAGCTTGACAGCCTGTTGAGCTGGAAGATGAACTCAAAGAAGAAGTACGAAGTCGTCAGGTCGATGCAGAAGAATGAACATCTGGCTGCTGATATCGTGTTTGTTTGCAATCCCAGATTAGCCAAGTTTATAGACTTGATGATCAAACGGGTGGGAATGTGCTTTTCCAATTATGGAGTGTAAACATCTTTATTTCAGAGGCGACCAGACGATTCAGGACGCGAACTCTGTGTTGTTGATGTTGGTTCTGGGCAGAGTCATTTGAGCAGGTAGAGTTTGAGCTTGACGAAACGAGAGAAATGAGTTCCACACAGAGTTCTTGCATGGAAGTATGGATATGATGTCAAGACACTCGAATCCAACTCCTGCAACGTAGCGACTGCAAGACACATCGACAAGCATGTCTGTGGTTGATCGCGCGAGATTTACAAGTGACGCACCGTTTGCCTTCAGTTTCAGTACGAAAGATCCAAGAGAGAAGAAGATCAAGTCGATGTAAAGATTGATGATTCCAGCGTGAAGAGGGGAGAACTGCATCATATCAAGTGAGTTCGGACAATTGCTGGTGTGGTTGCTCACTATCGTTTGTTTTGAAAGCTGTGAGCTGCAGGCCTTTGTGGAACCAACGAAGTTTCTCAAGATGTTGGGTATGCGCGATCGTTGCAACCAAGTCATGTGCTTGACAAAAAACGAAGATGATCGTCAAGATGAGTTGTCTTCATTGTCAAGTACAAGAGTCTTGCATGTCGTCTTACATTCAGAGTTACAAGTCGGGTAGATGATGATTGGAATCTGGCGCTTGTTGGGTTGCACCCTTGTGGAGATCTCATTCCAACAATGCTCAACCTGTTCTCTCAGCTGAAACAGGTGAACATGGACATGTTGTAAGATCCGACAATGATGTTTGACAGGTCAAGCTTGTTTGTGCGGTTGGATGCTGTTACATGTGGTTGAGTGAAGCTACGGGAGAGGAGTGGAAACATGGAAATCATCACAACTTGTATGGATTTCCGCTGAGCAAGGCACTCAAAGAGTTGAATGAGAAGCATGAAGATAATGACGGTCTCGGTTACCTTGCAAGAGAACTTGCCTGTCATTGCAACGAGAGGTGAGATTGTAAATGTTTCTTCTCATATCGGTATCTGTTGCGTATCATGTTAGAGGGCAGAATGCCTGTGCTTGAGCTGCTACTGCCGATGATGTCATTTATGATGATGCCGATGATGATTCTTATGATGCTGCTGGTGCTGGGGCTGGTGCTGGTGCTGGGGCTGGTGCTGGTGCTGGCGCTGGTGCTGCTGTTGTAGTCATTGATGATGATGATGATGATGGTAGTGATGGTGGAGGTGGTGGTGATGGTGGTGGTGATGATGATGGTGGTGGTGGGGAGGAGGAGGAGGAGGTGGTGGTGGTGGTGGTGGTGGAGGAGGAGGAGGAGGAGGAGGAGGAGGACGAAATGACCATAATTCAGATATTCTCAACGAGCCATGCGCGAGATCGACGACGAATTGTCATCGTCGAGATGCCATTGTTACCGGGTGAGATCAATATGAAAACCAAGGACTACACATCGGCTTCAATGCTTATGTAATGGTCATGAAGATGATGATGAAGGTGATGGTGGGGATGATGGCGATGACGGAGACAACTGCAATGATGTAGGAAAGTGTGAAGATGGAGATGTTGGTGTTGGTTGAAGCTGCTCGTGGTGATTGTTTGTATTGGTGAAGGCAGCAGAATGTATTGTGGAGGTATCATGATGATTGTCTTTGCAGGCAGTCCTGCAGCTTTTGATTTCAGATGTTGTGAAAGTTATCGAGCACGAGCGAGAAAAGGCAAAAGAGGATGGGACGGAGGAAGAGAAACGAAAGCAGAGGATGGCGAGGACGGAGCGAGGGAACAGCGGGCTAGCGAGGAAGTAGGAGAAGGAAGAAGAGGACATGGAAAAGATTCGGAAGAGACTGATGGTGAAGGAACGGAAAGGCCAGGAGAAAGAGCGGGGGGGGGAGGCAGGAGCAAAAACAACAGCAGCACAAGCAAGAGCAAGGGCAGAAGGATCACCAGGAGAAGGAGCAGGAGGGGGAGGGGCAGAAGGGGGAGGGGCAGAAGGGGGAGGGGCAAGTGTTTCAACGGCAGACAAGAAAACGTTTGACCGACTGGTGGAGCATGTGAAGAGTGGGGGAAAAATCTCAAGAATCCAAGGGATCAACCGAGTGAAGATGAGGAGGTAGAGGAGGAGACTCAAGGGAGCGAGAGTGAGGTCAGGGGGGGGGAGGGGGAGGAAGGGGGGAGGAAGAGCGGGAGGGAAAGATAGATGCATGGATGAAGGGAAGAAGGACGAGGGAGGGAGGGAGGGAGGGAGAGAGAGAGAGAGGAGGGAGGGAGGAGGGAGGGAGGGTAGGTTCGTTACGGAAAGGGAAGAAGTGGGAAGGAACGCAC